AATTTACATTATTACATTTAATGTACTCGTTTCCATTTTTAGCACAATGAAAAATCATTTCATAAATGGGGTTTTTTGAAATGGATTCAAATAACTAAAAATTGGATTTATTTCAAAAGTCAAAAGTCACTAAAAATTGGACCTATTTCAAAAGGTAGTCTATAAAATTGGATCTATTTCAAATTTTCCCTTCATAAATAGAAGGTCACAACAACTATATCATAAAATTAATTTTCCATTGAATGAAAAGACATATGATACAATTGATCATTATAATACAACATCATCATCAATTGGATCACTGATTAAAACCCAAGATTCTGTTTTATTAACATACGTGGACAGGAGGAAAGCTAAGACCTTTAAATCCTATCATCTAGCTTTTAGTTGGTTAGTTTTTTCGTTTCTCCCATCGATATGTCTTGAAAATAAAGAATTGTTCATTTCAATCCAAACATAGGGTATTAAACGAGCCCATATTACTCCTATATATATGCATGACAGGGCGCTAATAACACAAAAAGTTGCAATAATGGATTCTCTCCCTTATGCAAACTCTATCACTGCTGGATTATTCACAATAATCATCGTGTATTACTTATCACGAAGATGGAGAGCTGCCAATTACAAGGGCAAATTATCACCACCTGAAGCCAAGGGTGGATGGCCTATATTTGGTCACCTTCATTTGTTTGGAGGCTCCACACCTCCTCATATAACTTTGGGAGCCAAGGCGGACAATTATGGACCCTTTTCGCTGTCTACCTTGGCGTCCATCCGTCGTTGGTGATGAGCAGCAGTGAGATCGCAAAAGAATGCTACACAACCAATGACTTGGGCCTAAACTCGCGCCCAAAGATGGCGGCTCTAGACCACATTAGCTACAACTACGCCATGTTTGGGTTCGGACCATCTGGACCCTATTGGCCAGAAATTTGCAAGATCGTCACCTTGGAGTTGCTCTCAATCCGGAAGGTTGAGCTGCTCAAGCACATTCGAGTATCGGAAGTGACTACTTTCTTGAAAGAATTGCACGAACTTTGGAGTACAAAGAAAAAGGAGGGCTCGAAAGATGGAGTGGTTATAGAGCTGAAGCAATGGTTTGGGGACATGACACTGAACGTGATTCTTACAATGGTGGCTGGAAGGTGGTATTCAGTAGCTGCCGATGGGGATGAGAAGAAAGAAGCGCGTAGGGTTCAGACTGCATTGAGGGAGTTTTTTTTAGTGAAAATATGACTTTAGCCCTTCAAACTCAATTTTCTTTATATAAAACCCTACATAACTTTTTTACTCAAAGAAAACCCAATGACTAGGATCCACATAAGCAAATTCATTAACTTCATATTAATTCACACATTTTACATTTTTCACATGCCTAAAATACCCCTATTACATACTTGATGTAGACAATTAATTGTAAGGAAATAGTAAATGATTTTGCAACAAGAAAAAAAAAAGACATTAATGTTAAAAATTTATTGCATATTAATTTTTTAGAAAGGTTTTGAATTTTCATAAAACTATTCGATATAGTTTTTTCACCCTACTCATGAATACTTTTGAATTTATCCCTTTTTATTAATATATTAGAACATTGTATTTCATTATCTACATGCACATTAATTTACCTACAACAATTATACCATGGGTGTAATATAATATCTCTTTTTTACAATGATGCAAAATAATATACCAACAAAAAAACGTGCCTAACATATGTACTAATTACATGGAAACTAATTTACCTATATTAAGAAGGAATGTATTTCGATGCATAGTATTAAAAATACTATGTTACACCCATGTTTATAAAACAATAAAACGTGCCTAACATATCTAACAATACATGGAAAATAATTTACCTAGTTAGAGAAATGTTATTTGGTTGGGTGTAGCATAAATTTTTTTAATAATTGGAAAAATTAAATATAACTAGGTGTTGTGTAATTTTTTTTATATAATTAGAACAAATTAATTTACCTACCTACTCTTTGAAATGTTCATTTCCAATGATGCAAAATGTTCATTACCTAACTACAAATTAATTTCCAATAATTTACCTACACCAATTATACCATGGGTGTAGGTACCAACAACTAAACTTGCCTAACATAAGTACTTGTACATGGAAAATAATTTACCTATAACAAAAGAAATGCAGTTTGATGTATAAAATCAACAATATTATGTTCCACTCATGTTTATACAACAACAAAACGTGTCTAACATATATAACAATACATATAAAATAATTTACCTACAAGTTAGAGGAATGTTATTTGATTCAAAATATATAATATAGGTGTAGTATTTTTTTTTTTAAATAATTGGAACAAACTAATTTACCTACCAATTAATATGGATAAAATTGCTACAAAATATATCACGAAAAAAAAAAAAAACTACTTTTCTAGTTTAACATAGATACGGTTAATGCAAACACTTTTTTCATTTTATTTCACTTTTTCTACTACTTTTAATTTGGCATAAATTTAGGAATTTGAAAAAGGGACCATAAAGTATGAGTGGCATGAGTGTAAATAAATTGCATTAATAGGTCAATAGTGTTCCTATATGTTTGCAAATTTTAAATTAGGACTTAAACTGGATCTTTAAAGATAGATGGGTTTTTATCTAGAAATAATGAATTGTAAGGGCCAAAATCTAAAGCACCCTTTTTTTTATTATCTGGGCATGTTTTTGGTGGGTGATGCGGTTCCGTATCTGCGGTGGTTGGATTTGGGTGGACATGAGAAGGCAATGAAGAAAATTGCAAAGGAATTGAACGCCATAGCTGGAGAGTGGGTTCAGGAGCATAAGCAGAGGAGAGCAAAAGGTGATGCAAAAGGAGAGCAGGATTTTATAGATGTGTTGCTTTCTGTGCTTGATGGTGCAGACCTTGGCGGTTTTGATGCTGATACGATCAACAAGGCCACAAGGTTGGTACATATATATAATTCATTAATTTTTGCATGCAAATAACTAACCATAAAAGGCTGGAGTTAGACACTGTAAACACATTAAGACTATAAAATGAAACTGAAAACATTAGACAATAAATTTTTTGAAAATATATGATTTTTCCATTTTATATATAACTCATGCAACATATTTGAGTGCTCACCAATGGGTGAAGGTATAGATCATCTTTTTAGACAATATTTGTAGAACACATGATGTGGCAGTTGATTGTTAAATTTTTTCTTTAAATCTTTAAAAATGAAATCCAACCATCAACCGCCGTATCATTTGATTTACAAAATATGATTTCAAAATATAGCTTTTCTAACATTTTCCGCTCACCAATATATACAAAATTACAAACAGTACAATTTTGTCTACTTAGTAGTTAAGGTGGAACATATTTTTTAATATATATTTTCACCTAAATAAGATAAAAACTCAGAAATTATCAATGTAAAGAATAAGAATGTATAGATGTAGCCTCACTCTTAAGTTTATATCCTAATCAATCAACCAAATATTCCGTGGGCAGAACGTTATTGCAAAAGGTGGCGATGCCACCATGGTGACATTGACGTGGGCAATATCGTTATTGTTTAACAACCCGGATGTTCTGGAAAGAGCCCTAAACGAATTGGACACCAAAATAGGCAGAGAAAGAGTTGTGACTGAGGAAGATATAAAAAAGTTGGTCTACATCCAAGCTATTGTAAAGGAGATGTTACGTTTGTACCCAGTATGACCATTATCAGGGCCACGTGAATTCAATGAAGATTGCACCATTGTTGGGTACCGTATTCCAAAGGGCACCCGGTTGATCGCCAACCTCTAGAAGCTCCAAACTGACCCAAAAATTTGGCTCAAGCCAGGGTCAGCATTTTGAGTTGATTCCATTTGGAAGTGTTAGAAGAGCATGCCCTGGTTTGGCATTTGGCCTTCAAATGGTGCAATTTACGTTGGCTAGTTTCCTACATGCCTTTGAAATCTCGTCGAGTGCACCAATTGATATGACAAAGAGCTTTAGAATTATATAATATTATGGTCTGAGTCCTCTAAACTTTATGGATAAAAAAAAAAAAAAAAAAAAGGAAATATATAGTATTATGGTCGATATGAAAAAGAGGCTGTGTTGATAATATTAACAAGGAGAGATTCTTGGTATCTCTTGTTGCATCTCTCCCTCGTCATGTTTGTTGCAATAATATATAAAACTGTTATAATGTAAAATAAAAAATATATTTCTGTGCATCCTACATCTAGCTACATTTTACCGAGGAATTAGTATCCTCTTCATTTTCATTTATTTAAAATAATAATAAGGCTCTTCTTTTGTGAAACTTTGCAACCGACATCTGCTGTTTAAATTAAATGAGTAAATTCCTATTTTTTATTAAGAGCACCAAAAACTAGTTTAATTTAGTTTAGTTTTAGAATGTGGATAATTGTATTAACATTTGTTCTTCTTTTTTTTGTTAAAGTATATTAACATTTGTTCCTTGGCTTTGCTATTATCTTATAGATAAGAAATACTTTTCCTGAATAAGAACATACATAAAACGAAAAAGATAACCTAGCTCATTAATCAAGTTAATTTGAACAATTTGTTTCCTTCATCCCTTGATTTCGTGCATAATGTTTTAACATTGTTATTTAGATACACAAAATTAACTTCACTGCCAGCAACTTTTGATATAAGTAGATTTCAAATACAATTTTAAGGATATACAGTTACTTTCCTGTAAAAGTAAAGGATACGCAATTAAACACGTGTTCATGGTCCCACAACATGCAACAATCAACCTGTACAATTGGCGTACATGCATTAGTGTTGCGCTAAATTATGCGCACAGAGGACACTTCGCAAACATGCATGCTGCCGTTTTTGACAACACCAGAAAGTAAATGTTCTCTTTCATCATCTTTATAAGAATCCTGTCTCAATTTCTGTGAATTCATTCCTCCCCACCAACTCTCTCAAGTTAGGAGAAATTTTTAACTGTGACGAGAACATAATTCATCCTCCAATGTTACTGATGGAGTTCCCTATTCCATATCCTGTTTCTTTCCTAATTATCCTTTTGACATCTCTGCTATTGATCACAGTTAGGAGGTTTAGAGCTGCTGCTGCTGCCAATGCCAAGGGTCCTAAACCACCTACAGCGGCGGGCGGGTGGCCTCTAACAGGTCACCTTCACCTATTCAGAGCTCCCCAGCTTCCTCCCCATATAACCTTGGGAGCCTTGGCTGAAAAGTACGGACCAATCTTCACCGTCAATATTGGCAGCCGCACCGCTCTGGTGGTAAGTAGTTCGGAGGTTGCCAAGGAGTGCTACACCACCAATGACTGGGCTATTTCTTCACGTGCCCAAACTATAGGCGCTGAAATCTTGAGCTACAATAATGCCATGCCAGGGTTTAGCCCTTACGGTGACTACTGGCGTGAGATGCGCAAAATAATAGTCCAAGAGGTACTCTCAAACCGCAGGCTGGAGTTACTTAAACATGTCCGAGAATCTGAAATAGAGCTGGCCGCAAAAGAGCTGTACAAGGTATGGACCAAAAGAAAAGATCATTCAAAGGACAATGGCTATTCCGGACAACTTTTGGTGGAATTGAAGCAGTGGCTCAGCGACTTATCTCTAAACGTGATGTTTCGTATGGTTGCTGGAAAGAGATACTTTAACCTCACGAATATTGGTAATCTGAGTGATGAGAAGGGCGAACGTCGATGTTACAAGGCCTTGAGGAATCTCTTCCGCTATATGGGGATGTTTGTGTTGGGGGATGCTTTTCCATGGCTTAGGTTTTTGGATTTTGGCGGGCATGAGAAGGCTATGAAAAAAAATGCAAAAGAGCTTGATGATATGGCTATGGATTGGTTGGAGGAGCACAAGCAGAATAGAACTCAAGACGATCGAGATCATCAAGATTTCATGGATGTGATGCTTTCAGTCCTCGACGGACAAGGTGTCTTGCAACAAGCACCCTTTGATGTCGATACCATCATGAGAGCAACCGTTGTGGTATGTACTATGTGCATGTTTTATTTATATTCACATCGCCATTTTATTTTATTGATTAGTAAACAAAAGAACAAGAAAAAGGAAAAATCACAACATTCCATCCATCTTTTTAATAGAAATATAACCCATTAATACAAGTAGGTCTCACCTCCATATTAAAGTAATACAATATGGTGTAACAAATGTACTCTCCCTATGCCATATTCTCCTCAAATTTCATCATTCACAATATACTTTTCTTCTCAATTTTGCATAGATATACCATATACTCTTAAGGACACATTTGAGACATTTATGTGCTCAATGAGTTATTTATTAGTTTCGAGAAAATTAACTATGATTTGGCAGAATTTGATTGCTGGAGGCAGTGACACAACCTCTTTGCTCATGGGATTCACAGTCTCATTTTTACTGACCAACCCCCAAGCTCTAAAGAAAGTCCGGAAAGAACTAGACGAGCATGTTGGCAAAGGAAGACTAGTGAATGATTCAGATATCAACAATCTCGTATACCTGCAAGCCACTATGAAAGAAGTGTTGCGTTTAACTTCAACATTCCCAGGCTTTAGGGAATTCACTGATGACTGCACTGTAGGAGGCTACTATGTTCCAAAGGGCACGTGGCTGCTAGTGAACCTGTGGAAGATCCACACTGACCCGCGGGTTTGGGCCGACCCAACTATGTTCAAGCCGGAGAGGTTTCTCACTAGCCATAAGGATGTTGACGTTAAGGGTCAGCATTTTGAGCTTATGCCTGTGGGTAGTGGTAGAAGAGTGTGCCCTGGCGTAAACTTTGGCCAGCAACTGTCGCTTTTGACCCTGGCGAGTTTTCTGCATGCGTTTGAGATTTCAGCTCCAGCGAATGCAACATTTGATACGAGCGAAACCTTTGGAGTTTCCAACGTGAAATCTACCCTACTTGAAGTCTTCATCAAACCGCGTCTGCCTCCAAATCTTTATACATAAATATATAAAGATTGGGCCAGCTCGAGAAATTTCTCTTTTATGAATAAACCAGTAATGGTAACCTTGTCGAAATGATATTGACAAGTATTAAGGAGGACCAAATGACTATTATATCTCTTAATATTAAATGAATTTCATATATAATTTGCTATTTTTTTATCGGACGTATATAATTCGGTATAATAACAAAGAGTGATGTAGATTTTTTTTTGGTCAAAAAATAGATTTTGTTAGATTAGATATTGACGGTGTTTGAACACAGGCCGTCATGCAGAAGAAATTTTTAGTTGTGACGAAAACACGAGTGGTACACCACGTGTTTTTATATAAGTGGTGGGAAATTCTATTTTTTAAGTTATTAACTTTTTAACACACATATCCCACCATTTATATAGCGACACATGGTGTATCATTCTGTGTGACGGTCACATTGAAAAATCTCTCGTCATGCAGAGACTCAACACCTTTTCACCGCTCCACTCCAAAGGGCCACTTACAAAAGTAGTTAACTACAGCAGAAGATCCCAACCAGCTCAAAACTGTACCCATAATCTGTGTCCCATTAATTAAGCCAATATGCATTTACCAAATAATTTCACCGGAGCAAAAGGACAATTAAAGCATATATAAAAGAAAAATTACAATTCAATCAAAATTTAATCATTTGTAATTTCCTTCATCCATTGATTCACTATCACAATTGCAGGACAACAACAAAATCTGGAGGTTAATAAACAGTGCATATAAAAATTCCTATAAGCAATGCCCAGGAAGCAAAACTGCAAAAATACTATAAATCAAGGATAGATAATTACCAGATTTGATGGCCTGGCCAGTACTTGGGAGCTTCTTCATATTGTGGGCTTTGTGGCTGCTGCCTTAGCGGTCCACAGATGATCACAACTCATGATTAGCTTTCCTTGGGACGGTTACGAGTCCGGGAACATCCAGAATTCGACAATAAATAAGAAGGGATACAGAGTTAAACGTGAAAACCATGAAGGTGGACAATTGGCGCGCATGCATCCAACTAAGAGGACACTTCGCACACATGCAGGGTTTTGATTAATTTTATGAGATCAGCACTCAGCTTTCCTGTTAATTTCCTCATCATATAAGGATTTCTATCTCAATTTCTGTGATTTCCTCCCTCACCAACTCTCTCAACTCTTCTTCCAATGGCGATGGAGTTCCCTCTCCCATATCTCGTTTCTTTAATTGTTCTTTTGACATCTCTGCTTTTGATATCAAAAAAAATTCAGAAGAAAAACCTAACCCTAAAAAGTGGGCCACCGGAGGCGCCAGGATCATGGCCGGTAATAGGGCACATCCCGGTCATAGGAAGAGGGCCGCAACCGCCCCACGTAATCTTGGGCAACATGGCGGACAAATATGGACCGATCTTCACTATCAATCTGGGCCAGCACAAAGCTCTCATTGTGAGCAGTTGGGAGATGGCTAAACAGTGCTTCACAACAAATGACAAGGTGTTCGCCACTCGCCCGAAGCACTTGGCGGGGAAGCTTTTGGGGTACAATTATTCCATGTTTGGGTTCAGTCCCTACGGCCCTTACTGGCGCCACGTGCGGAAGATAGCCACTGTGGAGCTACTCTCGAACCACCGCTTGGAGCTGCTCAGACACGTACGCGAATCGGAGGTGAATGCTTGTACGAAAGATTTATATGATAAGTGGGAGCGAAACGGAGGGGAATCGGATTGGGTTTTGGTGGAGATGAATAGGTGGTTTGCAGACGTGACGTTGAACATCATGTACAGGGTGGTTGTGGGGAAGCGGTTTCTTGGGGCGGCGACAGTAGAGGAGAAGGAAGAAAACGAGAGGTGCCGAAAGGCGTTGAGGGATTTTTTGAGATTGAGTAGCGAATTTGTGGTGTCGGATAAAATTCCGTTTCTGAAGTGGCTTGATTTTGGAGGGATTGGGAAGGCCATGAAGGCGACGGCTAAAGATCTTGACGTTGCGCTTCAGGGATGGTTGGAAGAGCACAAGCAAAAGAGGAATTCTAGGTCTGAGTTAAATTCTGGGAATGTGAAGGATGAGCGTGACTTCATGGACACGATGCTTTCCGTCCTTGGTGATGTCAGTGCAGAAGGGTTTCCGAGTACAACTATTGCTGATACAACCATCAAAGCTACTTGTCTGGTATGTGTCTCTCTGTCAACTTCTTATATATATATATATATATGGGTAAGGATCCATACCACTACATTTTAGACACAACTTTAGACATGAATTTTTAACCATTTGATTGGGGCATTAATGGCCAAGATTAAACCTCAGCCCATAGAAAAGTTTTCTATTAATTAGTTGTAGCTCATGCCCTATTATGTCTTTGTGGTTCAGTTGCAAGCTGCAACTATATATGAACTGATATCCTACTCAACGGGATTTGTAGCTCCAACAATTTCAAGATGTTAAGTGTAGCCGGGCTTAGATGGTTATGTACATTCACTTTACAACTAAGATCTGTGTTGCGTATTCAAACTTGTAGATCATTCGCTCTGCAACCAAGCCGTGAATTAGGCTCTTATATCGCATGTACTGAAAAAGCGATATCTTGTGTAAAGCAATATGTGGGTCCAGAACTCATATTATATGTTAGGATTAACTTTTGTGCTAATTTCAGGCTGCTATTCTAGGAGGGACGGATCCCACAACAGCCGTATTAACATGGGTTCTTTCTTTACTATTGAACAACCGTGAAGCCTTGAAGAAGGCTCAAGAAGAATTAGACAATCAGGTTGGGAGGGAAAGGCAAGTTAAGGAATCAGACGTTAAGAACTTAGTCTATCTCCAAGCAATCGTCAAAGAAACGCTGCGTTTATACCCTCCTTCGCCACTCTCAATACCACATGAATGCATCGAAGACTGCAACGTAGGTAACGGTACTAACTACCATGTCAAAACAGGCACTCGTCTTCTTGTCAATATTTGGAAGATTCATCGGAATCCAAACGTGTGGCTCGATCCTTTCCGATTCCAACCAGAAAGGTTCCTCACAACTCACAAGGATTTTGATGTTAGGGGACAAAATTTTGAGTTCATACCATTTGGAAGTGGTAGGAGAATGTGCCCTGGAGTGTCTCTAGGTCTTCAAGTTGTGCAACTTACACTGGCTCAGCTCCTTCATGGTTTTGAAATTGCAACTCCATCAGATGAACCTGTTGATATGACTGAGAGTACTGGAGTAACCAACATGAAAGCCACCCCGCTGGAGGTCCTCCTCACCCCTCGCCTTCCTGCCAAACTTTATGAAATTAATTAATTAATATTGTTGACCCTATGATAAAACAATATATATTTCGAACAAATATATGTGTTTGTCTCAATAGAGGAATATATTTCATATACAAGAAGATAAGAAGCTATATTGTATTAGTGTTGGACTTCTTTGTATGTGGTATAATATTTTAGTGGATATATAGGACATGTTGGGTTGCCACCATACATTCCGGGTTTGAAATTCTTTCTTGTAAATTATTATAATAGTTTATAACTTTCCGCTGCTGGAGGACAATACCGAAATTAAGTAATAACATATAAATAAAAAAATTGATACTTTAGTTACGAAATATACTTGCAAAACAAAAATGAAACAGTAACCAATTAATTGCAGAAAATAATATAAATAACACTAACTTGATTGACAGATAGAGGCTAGCAGTGCTAAGTCCTTCGGACAGAATTTTCGTCCCACTCTTATGCTTGTGGTTTTATGACGTATACCCGATCAGGATACAACTATCGAATTCTACAACCTACACCGAACTATAGAATTCTGGCAAATTACTTCTGTGTGTTTACTCTCTTGGAAACTTTTGTACGGGAGATAAAGAAAAGAAGAAGATGATTCTACGTTGAAAATGAGTGTCCATTTCAAATACCTCTTGAATGTATCGAAAAGTAACATCTCTTTCACCTCAGTAGTGTCTCTTAATTAGGACGTTTTTAATATTAATTAAAAAATTAATTCAAAATTAAAATTAATTAGTATTCACATGGCGCTCAATTGCACAAATTATCAGCCGTTTTAAGAGGCAACTTAACAGAAGTGTGAAATAATTCCAAAATTATAACTTTAGAGACTGAGACGAAAAAAAACTTTATGTATGAAATATTTTAAACCAAAAAATTTTAGGATAATAAACTGAGATTCACCCTCTATATTTTATCAACTGTTGATGCTTGATAATTTGCATTGCTCAATCAGGGTCTGTTAACCAGGGCTAGCGTTAGCGTGTTATACGATCCGCCTCGAACTCCCAAGTTTTTCTAACGAACAGAAGAAAGTCACACACAGGGTCCAACTCCAACCTACTGCACTTCGCACTTTCTACAACTTTGATAAATAAATCCAGATAACTCAGCAGGAAGTGGCACCGACTCGGGAGGAAGCAATCAATCGTCAGAGACGGCGGCACCGCGAATATGGGCGGAGGCGCCGATAAAGTAATAGTGGCGGTGAAAGCGGAGAAGGTGATTTCGAAAACGGCATTGGCCTGGGCGCTAACTCACGTCGGCCACCCCGGCGACTGCGTGACATTGCTCGCTGTCTTCTCCGCCATTAAAACCGGTAATTCGGTTTGTAAATTGTAAATAAACCTTAGTTCTGCTACTCAATTTGTGTTGCTAACGTTGAATTTGTACGAGGCACAGGAGAAGGTTCGTCAAAGTTATGACACACTGAATTCTCTGTTTCTTGTATATGAACAGAATCCTCTTCACGAAGGATCACAAAGATGAGACTGCAGATTAAATGATTTGTAGGATCCGTACCAAGAAGTCGAGACAATTGAAGAGAGGCTTGTAAATCTTTCTAAACCTCGAATGTCATCTGTAGTTACTACTCAAGACTGTCTTTTGGATCTCCCAAAATTACGTTGTTGATCATGGAAAACCCTCAACTCCCCAAAATAGTAAAAATGACTGCGAATATGCACGATTTGATCAAGATATAAGGAAAGATAAATATGAACTGAAGGAAACCCCTAAGAAAGGCTACCTCATTAACTCTAGCATCAGGGATGCTGTTTCTCTGGGCAGAACCTCCTCAACGCTTCCCCCATTATGCTCTCTATGCCAACACAAAACACCGGTCTTTGGCAATCCTCCGAAGCAGTTCTCTTACAAAGAGTTGGAGGATGCTACAGACGCATTCTCAGATATTAACCTCTTGGAAGAAGGAGGTTTTGGTGTGGTGCACAGGGGAGGGTTAAGAGACGGTCAAGTTGTTGCTGTGAAGCAGTTGAAGTTTGGTGGATGCTGACTTCTGCAGAGAAGTGCGAGTATTGAGTTGCGCACAACAGGGGAACGTTGTGTTGCTGATCGGGTATTGCATTGAAGGCAATGCAAGGGTATTGGTTTACGAGTACATCCGCTAAAACTCGTTGGATTTCCGTTTACATGTTGTGCACTTTTGTTACTTCATGCTTTTGATTTCGAACATATCCACAGCTCTTTTCAATCTCGTAGACTTGACATTCTCTTTGTATAAATATACTGTCTTCAGCTTTATGGACTCAGTTTTCTCATGGTCTTATTTTGTTTGAATGACAGGGAAAAGAACCCTTCTGGATTGCGAATCAAGGCTAAAGATAGCTACAGGAGCAGCCCGTGGTTTAAGATATCTGCACGAAGATTGTAGAGTGGGATGTATTGTACACAGAGACCTTCGGCCCAACAATATCCTTTTAACCCACGATTTTGAACCTCTGGTACTTAAAACTGATCCTGGAATTTTAAAGCATATACTTCAAAAACAACGTTCCCTTTCCCGTGAGAGGTCCTATTTCTTAATTTAGTATTTCATCATGATATCCAACGGTCACAAATTTGTTCGCATTTCCTGTGTGCAATCAAACTTTTAATCTTCTGTTATCGTTCTTAGAATGGGAGATGAGCAGTGAGGACCGCGTGATTGGAACTTCAGGGTACTTTCTCGTTTCTCCCCGTCCTACTTGCTATAGGTCCTAGATTTCTTTTGTACAAAAGCAATGCAATTATATGTGCATAATGAAAGAAAAAGAAAAGGAAGCGATTCCATCTGATCAAGCTCAATATGATCTGCAGGTATCTGGCACCGGAGAATGTGGATGGCGGGCAAATTACACATAAAGTTGATGTGTACGCATATGGAATAGTTCTGTTAGAGCTTATGACCGGTCGAAGAATCACTGAACTACAACATGCCAAGGGACATTGTTATTTAGAAGAATGGCTCCACACCCTGGCTACATTAGAGCCACACCACATCTTACCAAATCATTATCAGTTACTGGATCCAGACTTGGCCTCCTATGAAAATCCTGACTTTCCCAATCAACTACAGGCAATGGCTCGTGCTGCTTCTCTGTGTCTGCGCCGAGATCCTGACTCTAGACCCCCAATGTCAAAGGTTCATTAATATCCTGGCTTAGTTACCAACTCTGTTCCAAATTAATATCCGTTTCGGGGGATAAAGTTGTATGAGTTCAAATTGTGTGGCTTTGTACAGGTGCTGAGAGTGCTACAAGGAGGAGATCCAGTTGTTCCTCTGGGCCTAGACGTGAACTCAGCCGGCAGTAGAAGTGGCCATTCGCATGGCCTAAGCTCGCCGCGACCTGAAGCGAGAGGAAGCCATTCTCTTACATTATCACATCGAAAATGGATTGTCTTTTGGGTTATGGTTTTTTTTTTTTTTCTATACAAGCGATATTACGGGAGGAAAATCGAAATTAGGGCCTCAAGTGCAGTTTTGAAGCTCTTTAAGCCTTAATCAACCGAACCGAACGAGTTTACAAGTCCCTTGCAGGGGTTATGACGAGAATTCGACGGTTTGTATTGCACTTTGCAGTTTTCATGACAGATTGACAGATTTTTTACTTCCACCGTTGTTTTGAGTTACAATATAAAGTTTGTAAAGTTCTTTTACGTGTGTGTCAGAGTAACAAATTTGTTTGCACAACTTTAATTACAGTAAAAATATATATTTACTTGATTGTTTGCCAAGTCTTTTAGTTCGACGATATTGCTTCCCGTCAAACATACTCAAAAGAACCGGCCACCTTTGTTTTTGTCATTGAAAGTCTAGCTTCACAAAATATTAATCCAAAAGATGAGGGACCAATGATTTTGAAAAAATTAAGATCGTTTGCGGTGAATTGTCTATTTATTTATCTAATAATCAAAGTGAGTGAACAAGAAAGTACATCGTAAAATCATCTTTAATCGTTTAAAGCTTAACTTTTTCGATTTAAGTCTTATATTCAAATCACTTATGTGAAGTCATCCTATAACATGCAAATCACATCTTTCTCGAGAGATAACAAAGAAATGGAGTGAAATTAATTTATTTCTCATATATATTCCCTTCATCGCACACTCCAATCCTTTCATCTCTTACTCTTCAGTCAACGCCAATAATCAACGATCCAAATTCCAAAGATGAAGATGAAAAAAAAAAAAAAAAAAAAAAACTCCAAATCTTCACTCCTCCAGGTGTCATTCTCTCCACGCTAGCGAAGAAAACCATCTTCGTCGGACACGTGGCGCAGTTCAATTGCCCAAGAAGACCGAAAACCAATCGGGATCGTAAATAATCAGAACCTCCTGTTGTGGCTGCTGCCCCGACCAGCCGACGACGAATAACTCCCATCCGACGGAATCGAAACCGCATCGGACCCCGTGCGCGGGTGACCCATCGCTCCCAGCTCCGGCGCCTGCTCCGACACCCCCCACACCTTCACCGACTTATCCAGACTCCCGCTGTACACAATCCACCGCTGCTCGTTCGCTTTACTCGCATTTACATCCTTGTCCTGCTCCACCGACAGGCACTTCACCGGCCCCGTGTGCCCCGCCAGAACCGACAGGCAAGTGTGGATCGTGCCCTCCCTCCGCCACACGCAAATCGTCTTGTCCGCCGACCCGCTGAACACCAAGTTCCCCGCCGCCGCCAAACAGAGCACCGCCAGCTTATGCCCCTTCAGCACGCCGCCGTGAGACAGGTGCTTCTCCCGTTCCCAGAAATTCACCAACCCGTCTGACGACCCGCAGTAGATAATCGACCCCGAGGCGCTGGCGGCGAGCGCCGTCACCGCGCTCTCCTGCTTCAGCAGTGTTTGCGCCAGAGTGTGCTTGATGATCTTCCCGCTCTGCTCCCTCTTCCAAACTTTAACCGTCCCGTCCGCCGCTCCCGTGTACACCATCCCCTCCACGCTCGCGACAACGGAGTTCACCGCGTCGTCGTGGGCATGGATTGATTCGATGCATTTTGAGGTTTCAATTCGCCACACTTTTAGTGTCCTGTCCCATGATGCTGAGTAGAGAAGCTTCTTGTCCTCGCTGAGGCTCAGGCACGAAATGGCGTCGGAGTGCTTGATCCAGAGCGTCTTCTGCCGCCGCACCTGAACGTAATTGCTGGGTTTCACGGAGTATTTGAAGATATCCATCATCGTGGGCAGAGTCCCTGCGCGTTTGTGCACGCTCGGGTCTTTTGAGGATACCCGCCAGACCCGGATCTTTCCGTCTTGGTGACCCGTGAAGAGCTTGTCGCCTGAGATGACGATAGCTTTCACAAGTCCACTGTTCGATTTGAATCCGCTGAATTCTTTAAGATTCTTCCAAACTCGGATGTTCTTGCTGTCCGAACCGGTGTACAGCAGGTCTCCTTTGGCCGCGAGGGAGTAGATATGGCCTTCCTCGCGGAGGAGAGACCCAATTAGGCCGTTCTGGGGGACGTTGGATTCCTCGAACGGTTGCCAGGGTGACTTGGAGAAGGGGGAACTGGAGGTGTTGTTCCAGGGAGACATTGTCATCGGAGAGCACTCTCCACTCATTCGGCTCGAGTCGACAGAGCATGCCGGGCCGAGGGCGGATGCGCTGCTGTTCCGCGCTGGGTATTCTACGTTGAGGTCGGTCACCATGCCGGCTGTGGCGGAGATGTTGGGGGCGGAATGCGTGTAGTTTCCAAATTTACCCCGATGTACAGACTCTGTCTCCGCGAACATCCCGCCGTGATTCACTTCAAGGGAAATTTTATTCAAACTCAATTGTTTTCTCAATCTTAATCACTCGCATCCGCGAAACTGATTAATATTAAAATGGAATTTAAATCAAGCCAAACAAAAAGATTATGAAGATTTTAAGATCTGATTTTAGAAAGATGTGGTTGTTAATTAATGGTGGGAGGAGAAAATGGAGAGAGGTGGCCAACTGCTTAAAGAATGTAAGCAATTTACGAAATGAACAACAAAAGGCGGGAGATGAGAGCGGCGGACTATATAAATATAAATAGGGATTTCAGGACCGTTGTGATTTTGACGCGTGTGGGTGGATACGTAGGGGTTGCGTGACGAAGGGTTTTGCGGTCCCGGAGAATCCGGGTCGGACGCTCAGAATAGCAAGTAAGTGTGTGTGTTTGGTAATTGGGATTGGCTGTGATGATTATACGGTTGGGGTTGGACTTGGGTGGTATCTGTATATTTGCTATATTTGGGTGCTTTATTAGGTTGTTTTTCTTGGCGTTTTAGGGTTTTTTCACTTATATATTATGGGAATTTTTATGCTCATCACCCTCAAATGATAGTGATGCTCATCTTCCTATTTATTATCGTTGCATGAGTTAAAATTTCGAGATCTGTGTAGTGGATAAACATAAATCTCAAAATTGAAACTTAGCCGATTTAGGATGATGAGCATTACCACCACTTAGGGTGATGAGCATTACCACCATTTAGGATGGTGAGCTAAAAAACACCCATATATTATAGTGCACTTTTACTGAATGGTCTAAAGAGAAATGATAAGGAGAATCTCTCAAAAGTGGGACTCTTCAAGGACTCTCTATCACCTCATATTTTGCATAATATTTTATAATGTTGGCACGAGAATTAACGTTAAACTGTGAGGTGGCATATAGTCCATGGAGAGTCCTACTCTAAGAGAGCCTCCTTAACATTTCTCATGGTCTAAATCCAATGTAAAATGGTTGTTTATGATACATAATTTTGTCATAATTAAGCACACACCGTCCTTTAATTACCATCCTTCGCTTGCCAAAGGAAGAAAACATGTATAGATTAGAAAGGGCACCGCCCTTGAAAAAGGAAAAAAAACTAGGGTAGATTGCAAGTGAGCTAAAGTCCTTGCTAGTTGGAGGATTGAGATAATGAGTTAGGTATTATAATAAACTTAGCGTTAATGAGGAGTTGTAATTGCAATAGACTGAATTTTGATTGAATTCTCTTAAAATCTTAGAGGGAAAGACTAAATAAGTTAAGGCTTAAAATAAACTATGAAATCTCTCCAACTATACCAAAATCCATCACTTTTTGAAATTTGTATAGACTTCTCTTGATCCTGATTGAATATAATTAGTGGCAGAGTCAGAATTTTAACATAAAAGAGGCCCAAAAGTCTCAATGTGAAACACTCTTCTAATCTTACAAAAATTACTCTGTCGTGTAGTGAGCAATATATCACCATCGTTTGGGTCTACTATGGTGTCATCTTCATCATCTTCTTTATTAAACCTAAACCCCACACCTTTATAACTTTCTTCATCCTCAAAGCTCATGAGCAACAAATTACTTAAGCTCTACCAATCTCAAATCAAACCCGCTTAAAGAAATTAAACAAAAAACTTCGAATTGAGGCCCTAAACCTGCAAAAAAAAACCTTAAAAATTATAAACATGATACTTTTTCAGCGTGAAAAAAAAAATTGTCATAATGGACTTGGGACTTCGTGGTCCCTTCATGACTTTTATAGCATTTTAAAATTCTGATTCAATCAGAAAATCTTTTGAGGACCCTAGTGTAATGTTTTTGTAGGCAATCAAATGTAGCCAAGGTTTCGTGTCACTCGGGTGTTGGTCATTGCATTTGTCTTCCTTAATTTTTTTTTTAAATATTAATATCGTGTTATATTTAAATATGTAACGACATTTTTACTGAGACATGTGATAAAAGCAATAGTTGCTTCATATATGATCATAATTTCTTGGAGGAAAATGCCAGTGACCGTCTTCTAACTGCAAATATGTTATACTTTTACTACCGACCATGAAAAGTGCAATACTATTTTACTGTTGGTGGCAAGCATGCATATGCTGCTAGAATGTCAGCGTACATAGATATATAGTGGACTTCCTTTACTTTAAAGTTAAAATTTAAAAAAAGGCATGCACTAAGTACTTGCAGGCAGTTGGAAGTTGGAACGATGATGCCCATTTTCTCTATTTTGCATGAACATGGATGGTGATATCTAACAAAGAATTAAACAACCACCTTAGTGACTAATTTCAAGTTCGTATTTTATATGCATTGTTTTGAGTTCGATTCCTGACGATAGTGAATCACATAATAGTGGTCAAGAAGAAGCTGCAATGTTTATATGAGTCTTTTCGAATCTCCAAAAGTGAACCGAATGACGAAGCCACCAATTGATCTCTTTTTTAGCTATTTTAGTAAAAAAGATAAACAAATATCAATCATTGACACCCAATTAAAAGAAATCATCTCCATTAACGAACCACAATACTATAACCAAACCATGGGCACACATGCACACTCCAATAATCTTATGCAAATGTGAATGTAGGGAAAGGGCAAAGCTCAAGCTTGTGGAATAGGCTCCATCTTGGTCCACCATTAAACTTAAAAATGCGATGTTAGGGCACATTCATGAAAGTGATCGATTTGTCGCAACAATATTGAGCCATTGACAATTCTGATTGTCATGAACGATGCATATTGACAAAGAATCGACACATCATCATTGGGTACGTAGTACTACAAGCAATCAACAAAAAATTATCGTTTCATGGTGCCGTAAAGTCTGAAGAACAAGTATCGTATTAATATATCGCTTCTAATTATCACATCCAAGCAATATTTCCTAGCTTGGTTGCACTCAAACGTCATTGCTTAGTTTGGATCCATTAACTGTTGATCATATATATATAATAATAATAATCTTTACTAATTAATGAAACCATCTTTGTCAACCAAAAGATGGTGAAAAGACAATTTAGTCTTTTATCACACAAAAAAAAAATGATAGGCAATAATGTAATTTCACAGGTCCAAATTTTACCCTTTTTTATTGAAGTCTTACCTACCGGTGATGTTAAACTACCTCCAATATTAAAATAAAAAACCTCAAACTCCCCCTACATTCTCTCTCTCCCTCTCTGCTTCTCATTTTCTAAAAAAATATGTTCATACACACAAAGTGTGTAGGCAAATGTTAGTACTAATAAACGAATCTCATTAGGAACCTTTAAAAGTCATCTTAACCTAAAGGGCTAAATATAGCTTTGTCCATATTTATAGCCCTACAAGAAGTTATTTTTTAATCAACAGTATCAGACCATATTTATATATCATATTCAACCTAAGGTCTTAGGTTCGATTCTCGCTAAAAGTGAATTTGAACCACATTATCATGGCTCGTTCATTGTGATGTTTAGTCCACTCCTTCAGTGTATATCTAACATATGTTAAAAAAAATTAAAACAAAAAAAAACCTAATTCCTTAATAATTATCAACTTTAAATTTATTCTTTAGTTGTATTGGTGAAACTTTAGATAAAACTGAAAATATATAAAACCCCAACCAGAGGGGAAAAACATCATTTTCTTTTAAAAGCCGACTGAAGAACCAGTCTTTCTTCTTTCTTCAGCCTGCCATACCAAATGCCCAAATATTTCCACGCCAAATAAATCAACCAAGTTTCCAAAATTCCCAAAACTCAACTTGAATTCAAATGAATCTCTTGCTTCTGTATTTTACTGAAGGAATGTCCAAGAGAAGAACTGGGAAGAGGTACGAAAGAGAGAGAGAGAGAGAGAAGGAAGAAAATTGAAAAGAAAGAAGAGAGAGGCGGGAAAATAGCCCAATAAAATTACCCCAGGGCTACCGGGCTTGCTATGTTTGGCTAGCATGATGGTCTTTGGTCCGCTGACAAGGATTTAACCCGGTGCTGATTAGGATTTGGCTTGCTTGGAGACGGGTTTTTAACATATTTTGGCTATTTTTTAGCTTTTAGACCTTTAACCCTCTCCATTAGTGATGACTTAATGTCTCATCCAATTGCCCCAATTGTTAGGGAGTTAAAACTCACCTTATAAAATCTTAAAAATAACAAGGAAATTGGTTTGAAATGTAGAGGTCGAATCGAATACTTTTCTTTCTTTTGTCCCAAAACTATAGGATAATAAATCAGAGGAGCTGCTGATCACCATAAAGAATAGGGTAAACCACAAAAAAACAAGAAGCCATAGCCTTCCATATGGTTCAACAAGTGTGAGTCATTCGATATGCGACGATGTCGTCCTTGCTCCGTCATTGAAATTTCTTGGCAAGACAAGAAATGGTGGAGAAAAGTAGCATTTTATTTTACCACTAATAAATCAAGTGGAACATGACGACAAGATGATCAGTTAATGAAAGAACCCTAGTTCCTTGTTTGTACGTGAAGGTCCGAAGAAACCCTAGTTTTCTGATGATAGCAAACGGCCAAGAAACCTTTCGGAAAGAAATTGTAATGGAAGCTCGTAGTTTACTAATTTGTTAGGGTTCGGCAAAGACCGTTGCTTTCCGTTTGAGGCCGTTAGTCGCTTACGAATTCATTGAACCGGTTCTTACCCAGAAGAGAAAGTGATTTGACCCGACCAAAAAAGGTTCAAACTGCAAATGTGGATTAATCAGTGATAACATGATGCAGATCTTTCATTATACGTATGGCACGGCCATTCATACTGTAACACGTGTGAGACCAAGTACCGAGGAGAAGGGGTCTTCTTCCCATATGCCACGTATACGGTTTCGGTATTTCTGTCGCTTTCTGAAATTATGTGGTTTGGGGCACTGGTTTTAAATTATTGGGGGACTTGGAATTCAAGCATGCGCTGTATAGTATATATGCAAACCCTAGGACCGTTTACTGAGCAATATGTTGGGAGGCCACGTATTTGCAACTTCCTTACAAGCATGATGCTATAAAACATGGTGTATAGTGTATAAGGTACATGACTGTCATTGCCCACATTCTCGTCAATGTGGTGTTGTGTAAGTGAAATATGTGGTTTAGCCAACTTCAACATATTTTCAAATTTGAATAACGAATATTGGTTCACAATCAAATAATACATGTGTTTGCGATTGATTCAAATATTTTACAATTTTCTCTAGCACAAGTGAGAGCTAAGTAAATTTTGTGATTTTACTTATAACACATTGCATGCATTGTAATTTTCAAGCTGATTTTACATACGATGGTACTATCCACACATCTATTTTTGTTTCTCATAAACCTCTTTCAATTTCTTCACCATCAGATGAAATGAATTAGAGAAGATCAATAACAAAAAATTAACAAAATATATGAGAAATAAAAATTAATATGTGAATAGCATTTTCCTTATACTTTATGCTTTTTTGTTTTGTTATTGTTCTAACTCTTTGTGGTAGCGGGATGCACGTATACGAAACAACACTGTCTTTTTTCTTCTCTTTCAATGTACCTAGC